TTGTAAGTCTGACTTGTATCAGCAACATTACCCTCAAGGTAGGTGCTATCTGTCAACTCTTCTCTGGGTCTCTTGTAAGCCTGACTTGTATCAGCAACAGATGTTGGCCTCTTATCCTCGACTGACATGGCTGACCTGCTTTCTGATGACTCTAAATAATTATGATAAACCCGATTCATAATTAATTTTAAATCTATTTCTGCCATTTAAGAGCGAATGTTACCAATGGTCACATATTTGGTGGCAACAACTGAAAAATCAATTTCGCCAATATTTCAACGTTAGGTAAGTCTCAATGGGAAATAAATCACTGTCTATTTCGTTTGGCTGAGTATCGATAATAACTTAGTTCCGCCAAAATGCCGCTTTTATAGCTCAAAATTTCTCACGAATCTCAGAGAGTCGCGTCACGAGTTATGGAAAACATTTGAATCGATGAAAAGTACCAAATCTTGAAAAACAACATCAAAACACAGGTTGACAGCAATTTGAGCAATTTCGCCTTCCAAACGCCGGATTTCAGTCGATTATTCTGTTTAGCACATAGTTAAATAACGGGTTACTTTTGACCAATTTTAATATAGTTGGAAGGTCGGATAAAGTCAATTAGATTGTGTGTACAAAAAATCAAGAACATAGATTTGGATGTTGTTTTTCAAGATTTGGTACTTTTTATCGGTCCACGTGTTTTCGATTTGTGGTGCGATGCTCCGAGACTCGTCTGAAATTTTGAGCTTCCAAAGCGGCATTTTGGCGGAATTCTGTTTTCATCGATTTTCTCGAAAACGAATCGATATTCCGCTAAACAAAGTATGCAGTGGTTTGTTTCACTGTAAGGCCCACCTAACTTGAAAAAGTGAGCCGAATCGATTCTTTGGCTGTTGCCACGATATTTTGAAACTGCTCGATTTTTGCCCACGTTTCCTCTTGAAGGATTAAGACACAAGTCAACACTCTGGCTATAACAGCAATTTACAATACAAGCCCGAAAAACTACAGTCCAACCCCTATTAAGGGGCCCCCCTCAGGGAAATGGAAAGTGGCCGCTTAATAGGGATTCGTCAGGAATTGGTCTGAGATTTACGTAAAACGTCCATGTATTCAAATACAAGCATGCTTAGAGGCTTTTAAGTTCTGCTGAACGCAATAAAGTGTTTAAAAATCGCACAAAACCAATTTTAAGAAAATGCTGAGATACGGTCACAACATGAATCGGTTACATTGAAAAGTTAGCGACATGTAACGATATGGTAATAGTAATTCAGTGATTAATTGTATAATTTCAATTTTAAGGAAATCTGACGATTAATATAGATGTTTCATTTATAGTATTTAACTGAAAGTAATTTCGGGACTTTAATAACTGGCCGCTTAATAAGGGGTAGCCGCTTAATAAGGTGTGGCCGCTTAATAAGGGGTGGCCGCTTAATAAGGGGTGGCCGCTTAATAAGGGGTGGCCGCTTAATAAGGGGTGGCCGCTTAATAGGGGTTGCACTGTAATCATGGGAGTGGCGAGAGCATTTTAAAGTAAAGGGCCAGAAGCAAAATTAGATAAACGGAAGCCAGCAAGCTAATTAACTAGAATCATCTTTGGCTCTTATCAAGGTCTTTACAACACTAGCAGACAAGATAAGTATGTAATCGTGGCTCACCACTATTTCATACAACGACGACTTCTAACTTAAAAGGATTGACGAAAAAAATCACTCATTAGATTCAAACCTACATAAATAAAGGATAAGACCTCCTTTTGTGAGGCCGATTTGTTCAAAGCTTACAGAAAAAATAGCGTACGTTTCGATTTGCTTTGACACACGCGGAAGTTAATATAGCGGTCAGCCGCACTCGTCCCGAATCGTATTTGGTCAAATTGCAAACAAACATTTCCACAAGACAGTGCAGGGCACGATGGATGTTACTAAAACTAGTAATCGGGAACGGGGAACGGGGAACGGGGAATGGGGAACGGGGAACGGGTGTACAGCGGTAGCCCACCTGAGAATTCAAAATGGCGGAGTAAACGATGTTTACAAACACTGATTTTATCGCTAGGTCGCCACTTACAGCGAAATTAGACGACTCGCTTTTATTTAACTATTGCCCAGACGAAGCCACGAAGCCTAGTATTCCGAGGCGAGAATTCGAAGTCAACGTTTCTGCAATGGCTGCCACCATTTGTTCTGACGTCCCTCTTTGTTTTTCCTTCCTGAAATCTGCATCTTTTGGCAGTTTGGGTATGTTGGTTGTTTGCATTGCCCAACAGCATTTTTTGCAGATAAGTAGCAAGGAGGTTATATCTTAGATCAACAGAAATGAGCTAGA